CTTTCTAGGAGATTTCCATTGTCTATATAAATTACTTGTTCACCATGTCAAACGTGCTGGTGACCAATCAAGTTTTTTTCTGGATTTGACAAAAGACATCACTGTAAGTGTCATATATGACTAGGAAGCTACGTCATCCTTCCGGAGAACCTGGTGTTACACCAGTTTTTGAGGATATTCATAGTCTCTGTTTTTTTTTATTATTTTGCTTCTTCCCAATTGTCTTTTTATATGACTTTGAATTAGGGTTTTACCTTTGAATCATGATTTTTTTACAACCAATTTTTAAGTTCTTCATATATATTGTATTAAACCATAATGTACAAGTAGAAGGTACATCAATCAATCAATATTTAACTTAATATGAAATCATCCTTTTAATTTCAAAGTTACACTTTACCCAACTATTTTGTTTGTCTGGTAAGAAAGACAACTCTTCTTATTACAAGTAAAAATATCTTGAACACAATGAAGTGAAGCAGGTTGTTTTGGTGTTGACTTGTCTAGGGATATAGTGAATGGAAATAAATTAACGTTAAATGTAAAAACATGCACAATGTATGTGAATTTAAAATCATGCCGTCAGATAAAATGTATTTGTATAGAGAGTGCATGCATGTTGTACATATGGACACGAAATGGTTCTTCCCATAATTATTTACAAATTCCAGGTCCATTTACTTAAAAACTGATGGTTGGTTCATTCTAGAATTGTGCCCAGCTCTAATATTTTGCATGTTTGTTTTGTATTCTGTTTGATCTAGATCTGCCACACTGTCTTCATTACTACATGTATTACATAGATGTCCTTATATCACTAGGTACCATGGAGTAAACTGATTATGCATTGAACGATTCCAACCATATTAATTCTACTGATTCTATTTCTTGCTTATTACCTAAAACCCGTAAAAACAGCTGTTTTTCTAGTAAAGTAGTAAATTTTCCGCACATTTCTCATTTACATATGAAGCCACGATGCCAATTGTTAATGACGTTAATGACCCTGACTGACCCCAAAAACGTCATAAAATGACGTCACGAACAATAGCGTGACCCCGAAAGGTCACTATAATTCCCAAGCTAGTCTGCGCGTTTAAGCGATCTAAACCCGTGGGTTGAGTAGAATTTTCCAGCACCTCCAGAAATGCTGATATCTCGGTCTAGTATGCAAGAAAAATGAATCTATATTATATATTGTTCTTTTCATTGCACACTATAACTTTGTACATGCCACACATATATTTTAACTAAGCAGGCATTGAGAATTTATTTTTAAATACAGCTTTTATTAGATTTATTTATAAATGTTTTCATTGGATTAACCAACAAAAGTAATAAAGTGAGGTACATGAATGACTTGTAAAACAAAGCAAATTGAACTTGTTATATATGTCATGATGTAGAGTATCTTATAGGACACTGCTCTAACGGAGAATGTCTGTGGTAATGGTAATGATATGAGAAAACTTCTCAGGAGACCAATAAAATGTATACAGCTTAATAGATACATCAAGACTAGAATTTTACTAGCATTATGCTGCTAATAGTAAGTCGTAACAAAACATAATGGAATGAAAACCTGAACCTTATAATCATTAGAACTATTAATAAATAATAAAGCTTGCAAAATGATTATAACCCTCATTTACTCATAATATCTAAATATATTGTGAAAAATACAATGCAGATATGAAACATGACAAGAGATCCCAGAGGGATCTTGGCGCCCACCACTGTACAATCATTATCTTCATTAGTTCCTTGTCAGTTCGATCTTTTCTCTTAAATGCATCTTGAGGTAAATTTTGATCTAAACTTAATATTGATGTGTATGAAGGCCAACCTTTAAAGTGAGTTTGTCATTTCACATATTTACTTTTAGTCATTTTGTTTTTATGATCAGTCTCAAAATATAACATGCACAACAAGGGATCAAGGGGAACCTACATATCAAATTTGAGAAAGATCCCTCAAGTTATTCCTGAGAAATAGTACTAACAAACCTTCAATGTCAAAAATCATAGATGGCTGTTGGTAGGCCATTTTGTTTAACTGATCAGTTTCAAAAGTAAACATGAACATTAAAGGATAGTGGGAAACCTGCATTGGCTGGCCCCCAAATTTTATTTGGAGAGAGTAAAAAATTTGAAGCACTGGCCCAATTAACATATTGGTGACCCAAATAATTTTGGGAAGAAACATTTCCACAGCATTTAACACAAGGGAACAAGGGAAACCTACAAATAAAATTTGATAAAGATCCCTTTGGTACTTCCCGAGAAATAGCGATAACAAACTTTCACTATCAAAATCCAAGATGGCTGCCTCTCGGCCATGTTGTTTATCCGATCAGTCTCAAAAGTTGCTCTGCACAGCTAAGGACCAATGGGAACCTACATATAAAGTTTGAGAAAGATCCCTCTGGTGCTTCCTGAGAAATAGCGATAACAAACTTTCACTATCAAAATCCAAGACGGCTGCCTCTCGGCCATGTTGTTTATCCAATCAGTCTCAAAAGTTGCTCTGCACAGCTAAGGACCAATGGGAACCTACATATAAAGTTTGAGAAAGATCCCTCTGGTGCTTCCTGAGAAATAGCGATAACAAACTTTCACTATCAAAATCCAAGACGGCTGCCTGTAGGCAATGTTGTTTATTCGATCAGTCTAAAAAATTGCCCCCTGCACAGCTAAGGACCAAGGGGAACCTACACATATAATTTGAGAAAGATCCCTCTGGTACTTCCCGTGAAATAGCGATAACAAACTTTCACTATCAAAATCCAAGATGGCTGCCTGTCGGCCATGTTGTTTATTCAATCAGTCTCAAAAGTTGCCCTGCACAGCTAAAGGCCAAGGGGAACCTACATATATAATTTGAGAAAGATCCCTCTAGTACTTCCCGTGAAATAGCGATAACAAACTTTCACTATCAAAATCCAAGATGGCTGCCTGTCGGCCATGTTGTTCATCCGATCAGTCTCAAAAGTTGCCCTGCACAGTTTAAGACCAAGGGGAACTTACATATAAAATTTGAGAAAGATCCCTCTGATTCTTCTTGAGAAATACAGATAACAAGAATTGTTTAAGGACGGACCACGGACGGACCACGGACGCAGGGTGATTTGAATGGCCCACCATCAGATAATGGTGGGATAAAAATACTTCTATAGAAAACTTTAAACGAAAAAAGAAATTTACAAATACATAGAATGTAAAGACATATGATAAGGTCGTACATGTTGCTAAAAAAGTCTATAAAAACAAACGTACTAATGTTGATAGCTCCAGCTGCCTTATCACCTAGCAACAACCCCTCCCCCCCATTTAGCGGTAGCATGGGGTCAAATTACTTGTCTGACATCCAGTCTTTTATAACTAATAAACGATAATGTAGCTTTATATATTTCTATTACACAACAATCCAACATGATTATCAATATTTACATCATAACATTTTTATTTCACAATTCTCAACTCACAGAATAAACACAGCCATATTGACCACCATGGTTTGCTTTATACAACATGAGATGATCATATTCCAAGCCTTTTCATTGGTCATTTTATTAACCAATGTACTTGTTAAGTGACTTTAAACTTATCANCCATTGACAGTACATTGACTAATTACTCTTCATTACTTTAGACCACTGTCCATTGGCAACCATTGTCTAATTACTCTTCATTACTTTAGACCACTGTCCATTGACGGTACATTGTCTAATGACTCTTCATTACTTTAGACCACTCTCCATTGGCGACCATTGTCTAATTACTCTTCATTATTTAGACCACTGTCCATTGACGGTACATTGTCTAATGACTCTTCATTACTTTAGACCACTCTCCATTGGCGACCATTGTCTAATTACTCTTCATTACTTTAAACCACTGTTCATTGACAGTAAATTGTCTAATTACTCTTCATTACTTTAGACCACTGTCCATTGGCAACCATTGTCTAATTACTCTTCATTACTTTAGACCACTGTCCATTGACGGTACATTGTCTCATTACTCTTCATTACTTTAGACCACTGTCCATTGGCGACCATTGTCTAATTACTCTTCATTACTTTAAACCACTGTTCATTGACAGTAAATTGTCTAATTACTCTTCATTACTTTAGACCACTGTCCATTGGCAACCATTGTCTAATTACTCTTCATTACTTTAGACCACTGTCCATTGACGGTACATTGTCTTATTACTCTTCATTACTTTAGACCACTGTCCATTGACAATACATTGTCTAATTACTCTTAATTACTTTAGACCACTGTCCATTGACGGTACAGTGTCTAATTACTCTTCATTACTTTTGACCACTGTCCATTGACGGTACATTGTCTAATTACTCTTCATTACTTTAGACCACTGTCCATTGATGGTACATTGTATATTCAGTAATAAAACAAAGAGTTTGCATGTTATGCTAGTTGATAACATGTATGGTAGCCTGTATTGTATACATACTGCTCAAACCCAGACCAATATATATGTTGGTTCATGCTATTGGATTCAAAATAATCTTCACCAGAAGAAAATATAAAATAACCTTTTTTCTATTACTTAATTTAACACATATTGACAGAACCTCTCATAAAGTTTTATATATTTACATGTACCAGCCAGTACATATGAATGTAATATAATGAAAAAAGAAAAACAATCACTCTCTGTCAAAGTACAGTAAAAAAAAAAGTCAAATATCTTCGATTTAGAATGACAACAAAACATTAATTCTAAGTTCTACTAAAACTTTCTACTCTCCTTCCCAAAATGTCACCGTATCCATTTATTAAAAACCTCCCCCCCCCCCCCCCCCCCTTCCCTTCCGGTACTAAAATATCCATCAAAGTTATATGAAATGTATGACATTTTACATCCCCCCATGGAATCAGTAGCATTATGACACAGCAAGGTTTTACTTCTTTTCAAACAATTTGTTTTTATATTGAAGATTATTCCAGGAAAATAATAACACATGTATAGAGTACATGTTATTTTAATTGCACATTGATATCAAAGTAATCCAATATAAGTCTATGACAACAATCTATCAATCAGATTTCTCAGCAATGATAAGGTTACACAACATACCTGTGATTTATATTGGAGTTATCGCCCTTGAAATTCCTAAGGTTCCTTACCTGCTCAGATTTACTTGAATGTTATCAATGCACGCATTCTTGAGTATAACCTTTTAATGTGTGTTTTCAATAAATTAACCACAGTGTAATCAATAAATTAATCATAATTAAATTACCATTCATGAAGACACTTAACTGATTTCTTTACATAGAACTCTTTTCCAATGGAGATACATGTGTAGGTACATGTAGCATAATCTTTAGGTAATTGAATGAAAACTGTTTTACCAAATGGAATGGGAATTGGAACAGTGCCCCATGCAACAAAGTGTCAACTTATGAAATCCTAGATATGGACTGATGACAATTCAAATTACATCTGCTGTGTTGAATTTCCATTCCAAGTTGCATTCTCATCATCATCATCATCTTCACTATTTCTAAATCGTGTGATATTTCCATCTTTATTAGCTTGTCTTTTCTGATAACTCCTGCAACATCAACATATGGTTATTTTTAATAATTCATTAATCTACACAATGTGTGAGGGACTGTGAATGTGTGTATGGAGAATAAGAAATGTCCACTCCAGATTGTGAATGTGTGTATGGAGAATAAGAAATGTCCACTCCAGATTGTGAATGTGTGTATGGAGAATAAGAAATGTCCACTTCAGATTGTGAATGTATATTGTGAGTAAAAATGTACAATGTAATCACACATAAATCTGTGTTTTATAACTAAGCTCAAGATTTGTTCAATGTCTTTTGAATTTTGTGCTAAACCTTTGTTGTTTTGTGTGACTTGCGTGTTATATCTCTGTTGTTTTGTGTGATCTACGTGCTAAATCTCTGTTGTTTTGTGTGACTTACGTTACACCTCTGTTGTTTTGTGTGACTTCCGTGTTAGATCTCTGTTGTTTTGTGTGATTTCCGTGTTATATATCTGTTGTTTTGTGTAACTTCCGTGTTAGATCTCTGTTGTTTTGTGTAACTTACATTGTACGTGCTAGACCTTGTGTTTTGTGTGACCTGCATGCTAGAAGTCAAGTTTTGTGTGACCTACTAGTTAGACCTCTGTTGTTTGTGTGACTTACGTGTTAAACCTCTGTTGTTTTGTGTGACTTACGTGCTAGATGATGTGTTTTGTGTTATCGATGTGTTAGATCTCTGTTGTTTTGTGTGACCTACTAGTTAGACCTCTGTTGTTTTGTGTGACTTCCGTGTTAGATCTCTGTTGTTTTGTGTGACCTTTGTGCTAGAAGATGTGTTTTGTGTGACCGATGTGATAGAAGATGTGTTTTGTGTGACTTCCGTGTTAGATCTCTGTTGTTTTGTGTGACCTATGTGCTAGAAGATGTGTTTTGTGTGACCGATGTGCTAGAAGATGTGTTTTGTGTGACTTACGTGTTACATATCTGTTGTTTTGTGTGACCTACATGTTAGACCTTTCCTGTTTTATGTAACTTACGAGCCAGGCCTCTGTTGTTGAGGTTCTGCCCTCTGCTGTCGTGTTGATCCCTGACCTGCAGGTGGTGTTGACTCTGACCCTCCGAATATAAGTGAATATATAAAGTTCCAGATCATCAGAAAAGGAGCTAACAGCATGGACACAATGCCTCCCTCGCTTACTGCTCCCCCTCCTCCTCCGTATGGGGCTGATGAACGTGACTTATGCTAAAAACAAAACTTTTGTTTTAGAATTTTATTTATTTCAATTTCAGTACATTTGGGAATAACTGACAAAATCTGTTTAAAGACCATCAGTGGCAGATTCATCACATCCACTTCTACATAACAAAAAAATGTTTTAGTCATTTATAATTTTATGTATTTTCTCTACTTCTTGGTCAAGTTCTAACATACAGAATTGCTATACATTGTTGCAGTAATTGGGCTCTGATGTTATCCTGAAGACATTTTACACGACAATTGTATATTACTGTTTTAAAAACACATTGTGTCTGACTTTTGATTCCTCTGCCTTGATTTGTTTTATCAGGCATTTCTTTGATAAAACTACTTTGGAGTGATTGAATAACACCTTTAATGGATTCTAACTTTACATCAATTCTATGTTAAGTATGACACGTTTGCTAGGCCCTCAATAACCTTTACAGTTTACATGTACCTGACAGAACTGATACTTCCAATTTTCTTATTTTTATTTGAATGACACATAACCAAAGTACAAATAGTAAATCCCTCAGCAAAGAGGAAAGTGCAAGATGTCCCACATCATACTTTAGTACTAATATTAATACCCAGCCTCCTCTGCCCCGGCCGGGTATTAAATTGATCCCATGCCTTGTAATGGAGCAAGCCCGGTGTGAATCACACCGGGTCAATTTTAGAAATAATTGACAGCACATGTACATTGGTCCGCATCCATAAATAGGGTTGTAACATGAACTATTTCTGTTGATATCCTGCACAACTAGAAGTTAAACTCTGCCTCAAATGTTGTTAAATTATCAAGTTAACGTAGCAAGCTCAATTGAAATCTGAATTGAACGCCATGTTGGAAAGTTCACCTCTTCAGATATAGGTCAGATGTCCAAATATGGGTGTCATGATCATGACCCAATATGGAAATCGTAGTAAACATGGCGGCATCAGTAGTAATGCTATATTTGGCCATGCAGGCCATATATAGAAAGGATATTGAGATAACATCACGCATGATCTGTCATGGCGGCCGTTGCTATTTATTCCCAAAAGACGGACTTGGTTAATTTCGTAAAAGATTTTTTGCATGGGAAAGGATTCGTTTTTTCAACAATAATGCAATATTTGTATAACATTATACTCATATCAGGCGTGAATTGTATGCAATCTTGCAGATTAGCACTTTTGATTTTGCTCCATTAGTTAGCATAGGTCCGCTTCGTAGCTCTGACGACGCAACATATAAAAACAATGTCTCGTCGTCAGAAAGCCACGCTATCGCAGCTAATCATACTTGTGAAGGTATTAAAACATAATCCTACACAAATATTTCTGTTTTTTTAAAGCTCTGCATCATTAAAAAAAATACCTTGACATTATTATGACAACATTATCAAATTTGGTCCATGGAAGCAGCTGTGTGTCTTAAATCTATCTGTATTTTTATATTTTATTTCTTTTAACATTAGTATTTGAGATAGATATAAGGCTCTCCTTGCAACCACTTTAACCCTGGACTTCAGATTGTTATATCATTGCTCTAACCGATTGAGCTACCTGGTCAACGGAAGTGGCTTGGCCAAACTGTGCTACAATGATGTCCAAGCGGAAGTTAAGGGGAGGTTACTGTATAAAGGAAACCCCACACTGCAGTGGTACAGGGATCCCTAATTAGCATTTTACATACCCCCAAAACAGCTACTTACATTGACAGCGATAATAACTGCTGTAGGTGCTAGGCCAAGGGACATTAGCGTTTCAGTTCGGTCCTCGTCTGTGAATGACCTTTTAGGAAAGGTTGTGGATAGGGACATCTGGTGTCCGGTTGTCTATGTGTAAACATAAATTATAATCATTTTAATAATCACATGTAATGTCATAAGTATTCCTGTTGAATATGTATATATAAGGATGTTTATTAACACAATAAACAGGTGATAATATCTCAACTTGTTGTTTATATACTGTTTATGATAAAACAAAAACATTTTTACATGGGTCCATTAGGTAGCTGTTGTAAAGCCAGTACTAAATATATGTATTTTTGTGTACTCAAATTTTACAAAATTACATGTACCAATTTTAAAAGACTGGAGCATGAACAAACAGGCACACCAAAAATAATATCTAGAAATTCCAATGAACACAACATAATTTAGTGCAATATAGCGAATGTGAAAAGCAGTAAAAATAAGATTACTGCTAAAACATACATGTACATTTACAGAATTCAGTCCAAGCNTCAATTTTAGAATTAATTGACAGCACATGTACATTGGTCCGCATCCATAAATAGGGTTGTAACAGGAACTATTTCTGTTGAAATCCTGCACAACTAGAAGTTAAACTCTGACTAAAATGTTGTTAAATTATCAAGTCAACGTAGCAAGCTCAATTGAAATCTGAATTGAACGCCATGTTGGAAAGTTCACCTCTTCAGATATAGGTCAGACGTCCAAATATGGGTGTCATGATCATGACCCAATATGGAAATCGTAGGTAAACATGGCGGCATCAGTAGTAATGCTATATTTGGCCATGCAGGCCATATATAGAAAGGATATTGAGATAACATCACACGTTATCTGTCATGGCGGCCGTTGCTATTTATTCCCAAAAGACGAACTTGGTTAATTTCGTAAAAGATTTTTTGCATGGGAAAGGATTCGGGTTTTTTTTAATAATAATGCAATATTTGTATAACATTATACTCATATCAGGCGTGAATTGCATGCAATCTTGCAGATTAACACTTTTGATTTTGCTCCATTAGTTGGCATAGGACCGCTTCGTAGTACTGACGACGCAACATATAAAAACAATGTCTCGTCGTCAGAAAGCCACGCTATCGCAGCTAATCATACTTGTGAAGGTATTAAAACATAATCCTACACAAATATTTCTGTTTTTTAAAGCTCTGCATCATTAAAAAAAATACCTTGACATTATTATGACAACATTATCAAATTTGGTCCATGGAAGCAGCTGTGTGTCTTAAATTTATCTGTATATTTATATTTTATTTCTTTTAACATTAGTATTTGAGATAGATATAAGGCTCTCCTTGCAACCACTTTAATCTTGGACTTCAGATTGTTATACTATTGCTCTAACCGATTGAGCTACCTGGTCAACGGAAGTGGCTTGGCCAAACTGTGCTACAATGATGTCCAAGCGGAAGTTAAGGGGAGGTTACTGTATAAAGGAAACCCCACACTGCAGTGGTACAGGGATCCCTAATTAGCATTTTACATACCCCCAAAACAGTTACTTACATTGACAGCGATAATAACTGCTGTAGGTGCTAGGCCAAGGGACATTAGCGTTTCAGCTCGGTCCTCGTCTGTGAATGACCTTTTAGGAAAGGTTGTGGATAGGGACATCTGATGTCCGGTTGTCTATGTGTAAACAAGAATTATAATTTATTTTAATAATCACATGTAATGTTGAATATGTATATATAAGGATGTTTATTAACACAATAAACAGGTGATAATATCTCAACTTATTGTTTATATACTGTTTATGATGTAACAAAAACATTTTTACATGGGTCCATTAGGTAGCTGTTGTAAAGCCAGTACTAAATATATGTATTTTTGTGTACTCAAATTTTACGAAATTACATGTACCAATTTTGAAAGACTGGAGCATGAACAAACAGGCACACCAAAAATAATATCTAGAAATTCCAATGAACACAATCATAATATAGTGCAATATAGCGAATGTGAAAAGCAGTAAAAATAAGATTACTGCTAAAACATACATGTACATTTACAGAATTCAGTCCAAGCAATTTTCCCTGCCAAACTGAACAGAAAAGATTGTCTATTTTATATCTGGAATATACATTTAATTAAGTTGAATATACATGTATCATAATTGTCACTGAAATAGTTGAAGACCCTACTAGGTCTGACACATTTAAAAGCTGCACGTTGTGCAGGGAAATGTAACAGTCCGCTCTCGTTTAAATTCTTCCTAAAGCTCTGGAGAATGAAATGTTTTCTGAGAGTAAGGATCATACAAAGGTGAACATATCTTTTTATATGATTCACAGCAGAAATGAATAAGAATAATTTTGAGGCTTACACCTAGGCTCAACTGATGAAAACATCTAATCTCCATTACTACATAACTTCATTGTTCTGCAATGGTTAATTATAACACTAAATTTCATTTTCCAGAATTTTCTTTTATATTTTAGAGCAATTATCAAAATTTGCTCTAATTTTTTTTTAGTTTCCCTTCAAGTTCAGAATTTTCAAAATATATTTTTTTATACTGACCTGTTCTTACTTTATAATAAATAGAATGTCTGTGTTACTTACAGCTGTGATGAACTGATGGACGGCTTCCAGAGTGTCTGACGAGTTGAACATATTGGAGATGGACGACCCATCGGGTAGGCGTATTTGTAACCTAGCATTCTCACTGAAACCACATCAACATCACACATTCACAATTGAGTTTACTTTGGTACATTTAGAATTCAGACTAATTTTTTTTTAACTTTTCATAACTAAGTTGCATCAATCAACACTCACAACACTTAATAAAATTGTTCTAATAAAGTTTAACCTTCACTTGTTACCTTGTCAAGCTCTAAGTAAAAAGCTAAAAACTATCCCAATTTGTATTATACCATATATAGATAACAGTAACTGTAAAATATCAATACATCAGTTGTCACTTTAGCTAATGTAGCAATTGATGCCAAGTTACCATTTTTAATGGTTCTTTACATGTTCTCTTCTGATATACATGTTGTGCTGTTAAATCCGTTTTTAACATTTTTCTGTACTAATGTTGGCATTTTAAGAGGTTTACTGTACACACAACACTATCATTGGCTATCAACGTTAACCGGTACCATCTACATCTATTTGTCCCTTTGGCCCAGAATTAAATTATTTTTAATACAGGACTCTTTTATAATATATCAGATCAGCTTTTCTTGAAAAGCTAAAAAAAAAAATAGAATGCATACTGTGTATATCAAGTCTACACCACATAACTTAGAATGTATGATTCTAGGGATAGATCCAAACCAGGTACTCTGGCTCAGATTCAGGTAACTAATTTCAGACCCAAGAAACTAACAAAACTTTTGTTTTTTGTAATAAAGGCATATATGCATCCTAAGTTAAGTATAAAATGTAATCACAACAAGCTGGGGTTGAGTTCTTTAGGACCTGAAGAAGCCTACCATTCGGATGAAAGCGATAGATCTGACTAATAAAAACATACCTATTCCCAAGCTTGTTGCAACTGAATTTTATAGTTATTTTTTTCCCATACACAGTATGCATACTAGTTTTTTTACTGATTCACACATACTTACTTGGCTAAGTTATATGTATACAGGAATCACATTTATTAATGCTATCCACAATCAAGAGATGTTTTAGTGTCATTTGAAACATGGACTAAAGACACTGACCTTCGCCTGGCATTATCCATAGCTGCTGCCTCTTGTTTAGCTTGAAGCTTGGCTTTCTTCTTCTCTTCAGCATCTATATCCTGCTCGTCTTTCTTTCTCTTGTACATCTGAGCCTTCTCTTCTCTACATGTCAACAGAGTCACAAAAATTGTTAGCTATTCCCATTGATTAGAAAATCTTCAATTAATAGTAAAGTTTTCCCATTTATAGTATCATTATGGTATCTAAAGATTTAAGAATTGAAAAACATCTTTTATATGATGGTATGAAACAGACTGACAGACTGTAACTGAGCTCTTTTAGTTCCTGATCAAATCACACCCTACTGTATCTACATATAAGGAATTATCATATTGTCACCATTATTACATACAGTACCTATCTCTAGCAATTTGTTCTTTTATTTTCTCTCTCATTTTCTTATTTTCTTCTCTGTCTTTTCTTATTTCCTCCTCCAGCTCTTTTCTTTGTCTGTCTTCCTGGTACTGTTTCAGTTTATGTACATCTTTTCCCAGTTTTCGTCGTTCATCTTCTCTTAACTTGGTTTCCTGAAGAATGTTCACACAGTTATGAGAAGCCTATGGCGCGCAATGTAAATGTAGAACCAGGTAAACAAAATAATCAAGTGTACGCCATGTATTTTGAGAAATGATTAAGGTCAGTACTCAGTAGGAAGAATACCTCTACTTGAAGGTTCAGAGAGTTCAGTTCACTTTAATTTCATATTACTGAATGGGATCTTCACCCAGCCCGAGAAGGTTTCTACAAATGTCTTCAAAACAGTTTTTGATTTATGCCTTGTATATCCGTACAGGTATTTACCTTTGACTTCATATATTACATGCACATATTATATGTAGTAACTTTCAACATATCAGATGATCTACTTTCCACAAAGAAACATTCCTTGTGCACATGTGGACATATATATACACCCTATTAAGTTCATTTTACAGAACAAGGTTTCCAATGCCATACTTTCTGCATGAAAAAAATAGTTTGGAATTGTGAAAAACTGAACTTTTTATAGTTTTATAAAGTAATTTCATATATGATATATACCAACCTCTTTTTCTTTCTGTAGTTTCTCAATTCTCTTCTGTTCCATCTTTGCTTTGGCCCTACATACAGGAAAATAACAATAAGTGAGGTGATTCTTCATAATATGGATGAGTTTTGTCAACACATTATTATGTTATCTGTCCTACAATTCAGCCTTTGTTTTTTGGACACATATTTCTTCTTTCAAAGAACTGGCCATTTCACATTCAAACCACTGCAGCTAGAAATGAAGTTGAATCACCAACAATCTACATGTAAAATCATTACTTACTGATCTGTAATAATGTTACATGTATATAAATTATATAGATTTAATAATTACATTTCTACTCTGTCTTGCAGTGGTGGTTTATCTGCTGATTTGGCTGCTGCACTTGACGAACTTCCCATTGTTACAGACTCTGAGACAGCAGAAGATGATGCAGCAGGATTATGTTTACTTATCTGCTCTTGTAGTTTCTGGTTGAATCAAATACAAAAAAGTTAAACATAATACATCAGTCTTCTTTTAACAAGCACAGTATAACATATTCTTATGACAAAATTTTCAAATAGATTCATAGCCATTCAAACATAACAAACTGTGCTGATACATTGTTTTTCTTCTACTCCTGACTGGAGCTCAACTTATTTTTAAATGAAGCATCATAAAAAAATCATTTTTGGGACTCATGTACTTCTGTCAAAGTAAAATTTAACTTGAACTCATTGGAATTGATTCCAACAAAAGTAATGCTGAAGAGGCTATTTACCTGTTGTGCTGTGGTGATGTTCTGTACAAATGTATCTGCTTCAACATGGCCTCCTGTAACCTCCAACGGCACACCATTCAGTCCGATGAAGTAGGTAGAGGGTAAAAACAATATAGGGTCTAGGGTAGAGTTAAGGCAGCATAAACATACCGGGTATTTAAATCTGCTTTGATGAATGGCTGGGAAACTTAAATTTCAAAGACTTCCTTTTCCGAATGTGATCACGTCTTCCATATTTTATTTTAGTTTTCTGACCAAGGTTAATTAGTCTTGGGAAGATTTTAGATTTGTATCCTAACTAATCAGACCAGAACGTAATTAATTTATGACTGATCCTTTAATTTGTATACATGTTTATATACACATTTTTCCTAATGACAAACGTCAAATTCCATCAAGCATGCTACACTGCATGTTGAATACGTCATTCAATAGTTGGCATTTATATTAACTATGAATACCAATTGAAAGCTGTCCAATACTTGTACGTTTATATGGTATTTATAATTGCCTATCAAGGTATTCCACATAAGAGGTTAAATATGATTGAAGTAAAACCGTATCTTTGATCATCCAAAACATGTTTAAGTTCTCTCCTACAGTTATACTTTTAGTATTACCTTTCTTACATCAGTATGTTCATTGAAAGGATACAGATTTCTCCAAAGAATTTTCCTTCTTCACTGCAACAAACAAATGGTAAAATAAATATGTCATTTATAATTAAGGTGTTTGCTGCATCTTTCAGGAACTGATAAGGGTAAAATATTTATTGAAAACATATGAAAGTTGAAACATTTTTCTCTATATATACTTTTAAAGAATAAATAATCTTTAACTATTTCTTTTTAAGAAGCAACTGTAGGAAAATATGGAAAACGAAATGCTGATCTGCTAAAAAAATACTGGTTACTTATAATAAATCACCATGTTTTTGAGTAAAGCAGCTGGCTTCCATTAAGCATTTGTTTTGCTGTACTATGTGCATGTTGCTGACTTCAATCGTCTTTTTAATAAAAATAAGCATTTCGTGAAGAAAAAAAATATATTTCAATCTTGCACTCAGTTTAAAGGTGATGCAGGGTTTATGAAAGGATGCTGAGATCTAGATTTGTCAGTATTTTGTTGTTGGTGTTCATGTGTTAAAAAGTAAACAAACAAAAAATAAACTTGTACCAGTTTGTTTGGAATTACACATCAACATCACTGATGTAGACTGTGCAATGTGAATGGCCTGTTGGTGTTTGTTGTTTTGCCACTAGGAGTTGAGCCATTGGAGAATATATTTTATGAGAGACATGAGCCAAGTGTACTCACTACACAGTCAAATATCCCTCCATATAGCTTACCTGTCTCCTTGTATCTTAATGACTGTACATTTGTTGGATTTGCAAGTAGATATCACATTTTTGTCTTCCCAAACATCAGCCATCTTTTCTGTATCTTCATTTTTACCTGAAAAACAACAATTTGAAAGCTACTTGTACGGAAGATTGTTCCTTTGATATAGATGCATGTACATATAAATGTACATATTTGTTTACCTTTGCCTTGGCATTGACAATAAACACAAACCATAGGCGCTATGAATACCAAACTGTGTTATCATGATCATGAGTATGATGGAAATTGAGTCAATTCAATAGGAAAACAGTATTTTCCGATGTCACTTCTTTTATCAGGGGTCCATACATGTCCATTGATGAAAATATAATTCATATTTGTATATATGTCCCCCTTTTAGTTTAGACTGTAACCAGTTCACCAACATATTTGGGTGTTCTAGTCCTGGGTCAGTGGTTTTGTTAGTAAATTTACGGTTGTTGACATCTGGAACATAGGAATGTTCCAGTCGGCTGACAAGAAAGGTAAGTTTAAAAGTTACCATTGTAGAGTTACAGAAGTGATTACAAATTGACTGTCTTAGATTAAAATTTAAAGGATTTTCCTTGTTAGGTAACAACGTGAAGTGCAGTGATTATTCGGTAATTTCTGCCATAGGGGCTCCGAAACGGGTCACTCAACACGTAGGCTCTACTGGTAAGTCTGGTGTGTGTCTACGAATAAAGATAACTGTTTAACTAGTTTTGAACATTTAATATTTAACCCCAACAACTTTAAATGCGTTAGCAGTAGCATCTATTTTGCGATTGAGCAGCGTGGTTCCTTTTAATTTCTCACCCAATCACTCTGTCAGACAAATATGACAGCGATGACTCGTTATATTTCCCGAGTAAACTGACCTTGTACGTAAACCACAAAGAGACCGTTGTTTTGCTTGGCTGTCTGTATGGCCTGTGGTATGGAGCCAGGGAACCACTCCATTGTATCGTGTCACTCTCAGATGTTGCAACGTGAAATGAATATCATCCGATGACTGTGCTTTCGTTTCGATCCCGGAAGCTAACATGAACGACTAATAATAAAAACATTCACGGGCGGAAATAATTATGGGAAAAAAAGGGTTATGCTTATTTTGCAAGGCAAAATTCCGGAGAACAGTTTTAGTTGCCGATACCGATATCAATGAGAGACTTTCGAAAATGTGTGACCGCTTGGACCATCGTAATAGTTTTTGGAAGGTTGGCGTTTGGCGTGGTGCTCGTAATTTTATTTAAATCATTAAGGGGTTCGGAATAGCTTGAACGACACGTTATAAGGCATTATCACGGACTTAGATATAATCTAATTCTGTGGCATTATGAAGAACACAAAATATCATTTAACATCCGCAAAGCTTAAAATTAGTATCTGTTCCTGACAGAGACGTATAATAATATATAATGTATTATACGTCTCTGGTTCCTGATTACATTAATATAGTTTAAATTCGAATTTATGAGGGATAGATATTTTACTATCATAAATAACTGCCCCTAATTAATTTTAAAAACGTTTTTTTTTTCTCTCCAAAACTTATCAAGAGGGTGAATCGAATGAAACATGATTAATCAAACTCCAGGAAACTATTCAAAAGACCATGCAGACTAAACAAAAATGGTAATTTCTACAGCAACAGAGTGATAAATCTGTGGAACTCTCTAACATAGGAGGTAGTAATCTCTCCAACGCTCAACACCTTCAAGTCACGGCTCACAATCACTGGAAAACTCAACCGACAAAATTCAGGCCATCTTTTTATTAGTTACATATATATGGAAGTCTAACCAGTCAAAAGTGAACAATGTAACAAATTGACTGTTTGGCACTGACCATGCTTTTAAAAATCACATGTTTTAACCATCATATTTTAAAAGGAGAGGAATCAACAGTGGGAGCTGAATACTCCAACCCTACCAGATAAAGAAATGAACCTGTTACTGTAAATAACTATATATATAGCAACCAGAAGTCTAATTAGTACGCGTGTGTACAGCATACATTAGAAGAAAGGACCATCATACATCACCACAAGCTACTAGTTAGCTTACAACGTTGTTCACTGAGCGAAACTGAGCGAAATCGAGGAGAAATAAAGACTCAAATTTCTCTAGCACAATAAATATTGTATTATTACAAAGAAAACACTACAAAACAAAACCTTATAAAAACAAAAGTACTGACGATAATGTGTACGCGCCATTATTGTCGTCTGCTCGGAACTCGGTTGTGGTGGCTCTTGCATATTTTCTATAATGAAAATACGACCGGGAACTCGAGCGCGTGAGTGGGATAGGATATTTTAGTGCTCCGTCGTGTGATCAATATAATACAATCAGAAGTACTATGATATAGGTGAGATATTAAATATCTCAAACTGTTTCAAGTTTATAATTTGCATATCTTCACACAAATTGTCTCAAGGTGGAAGAGGAATTTTCGAATATCTTTAATTCATCTTTATTTTTGCGTTCTTTACAGCGCATCTTGTTCAAAACGTCTATTACTGTCTCTCTTATTAAAAAACATTGTTCATTTTGTTTAAAGTACAAGTTATGTTCCCTCGAATCTTGCAGTCTTTATTGTAACTATGTTAAATTGAGTTTCCGAGTCATTCATTATGGGTAAGTCTTCAAACTTTGTAGTTTTGTGTATCTTATTTGTAAGGGTTCGGGAATTCATTAATCAAGATGCATTTCATTTATATTCATGTGTATATGCCGTGGCAAGGTAATGAAAGGACGTCTGCATGCAGATGTAAGCAGATGAAATTTATTATGCTCTCGAATTTGGCAAGGGTTTTCAAACTCTGGGTGGCAGATAGAAACGTGTCAAGGTGCCATGGTGACTGTTTACATGTAAATAAACCTGTAGACGCTGTACATGTGACACAATCTTCTCCAAGGTCAAAGACAGGAACAGCAGAATTAATACTGAACGATAGCTTTTTAACTTCAATTTAGTCCAGGCTTTTTCAACATTGGTATAACAATAGGTTTCTTGCTACGCAATGACAATTTCATTCCGCCAAAGACGACGTGTTCATGATTGAGTAAATCAAAGGAAGCATTGCTTCAAGATAATGTCAAAGTGTATATACAGGAAGCAGATCCAGCTCACAGAACCTTAATTGTGAGTTTGCAAGGTATGAAAGGCCGTTTATGTCAAAAACGAGATAAACTAACTCGTTAGCATTTAACGCGTCAAAACATCATTTAACGCGTTAAACAACAATTTAACGCGTTAAACAACAATTTAACGCGTTAAACATAGTTTTAACCCGTTAAACAATCAAAAATATTTTAACGCGATAAAATATTTCCCAAGTTTAACGCGTTAAATGCTAAACTTATTTTTAACGCGTTAAAGTGTCATAAATGAATGGACCAATCAAATGTGCAGCTACATACAGTACTTAAGCATTGCTGATGGATGCTGTTCGAGTAAGATGCCTGGGATCGGCTGAGATGAGGTCAATGTACATGCATCGCAATGAAGATTCAGTCCTGAACAAATATAAACTTCCAAATCGGTGCCTAAAATTATACTTTTCATCGGGTCCGGATAAGACGGTGGATTTTTTGCTCTTTCAGATGATATAAAATTTTATCTGTATTTAACGTAGATTTATAAGCAGATAACATTGGTTAATATTTTATAAAACTCGTTTGTTAACTGAAAAACAGCTAACTTTTTGTTAACAAATAACAAGCAGTGCATTGAAGACACTGTAATTGGTACATATATTGTTTCAACGTCACGAGGTAGAAGCTCACGGTCACTAGATACAAATGAAACATAAAACATGGCAAGAATCTGAATTTGCGAATTTCCATAAAAACGGTACACTTTTTGTATAAACATATATATTAGAAAGCTATAGAAAGTAATGCAAAGAATATTTCCACAAAGTTTCTATGTCACAGGTTCAAAGGTCAGCGTCGTTGACACTTGGGGAGACTGAAATTGCAAAGTTCCTAAAAAGCAGTACACATACACCGACACTTTGGAAGACTAAAAGTGGTACACTTTCTGTATAAACATAAACTAGTTGCAGGAGGAAGTAATACGAAAAATGTTTTGGCAAAGTTTCGAGGTCAAAATGGTTAAAGTTAAATGTCACTGACACTTCAGAAGACAAAAAATGCCCAATTTCTCATTAACGGTACACCTTTTGTATACACTTCTACGTTTCCAAAATTGTAGAAAATAATATTTCGGCAAAGTTGTAAGGTCACGTGGTTAAAGTTCAGAGTCACAGACACATCATGAACATGCTCTTTTTCTCCAAAACAAACGTAGACTTTTTGTTTACACATATATATTAGAAAGTTGTAGGTAATTGAGCCAAGATTATTTTGACAAAATTTTCTCAGAAACCTAGGTCCCATTTAATTTAGTTGCGGAAAAAATGGCGAAGACAGCTGGGAATGTAATAGCTTCAAAATTAAACTAGTTCTGAAACTTAATGTGATATACAATATTTTGTTGATACGTCATATTATTCACATCAATGTAATTAATGTGGAACAAGGGAGGACAGAGTTTCTAACCGATGACCAATTTGAGAACATAGTAGCGACTGTAAACTCCATGGAGCAGGAACTACTGTCTTCTTGTCGCGATTCAGGTATGGTACACATAATAAATCCGACAGCTCTTAGCAGCTGGTTAACGTAAGGGTGATGGGTGCCGGAACCACTCAAATCAGGTTTCTAACTGTTCAATCGTTTATGCACCCTCCACAAAATGGGCAGTGGTAGAAAGTGTTAACCCTATCTGTCCCCTTGGGTACACTTCGTGTTTAGCTCCATTTATTAGCAAATATAAGTCGCATGGTTATCAAACTTCATGTGTATTCACCTTCAGAGTACTAGGTTGAGGCTACCCAAAATGTAACACCTTTTAAAGAAAAATATTAAAATTTCATATTTAGTTTCTGAAAGACTGATTTTTTTTACTGTAATGAAACAATACATGCCTTAAGCCTTCATCTTATGTATTTCTTGGGTATCAACAGCATGTGTGTCTATTTATAGAGCGCATTAAAGTGCGTCAGGTTCACTTAGAATTTGTTTGCTGGTCGAGTACCCAAAATGGAACACTCCATCATATTCTTTTAGTAAGTCAGTTTATGCATTAAACAAACTTTTGACAATTTCTGACAAATTTTACTCATTTATAGCCTAAATATTTATTTGATCATACAGTTTTCCATGTTAAGAAATATGATCGAAAATTTATGTTTTCGCATCGTACTGTTTCCCTGGATTAGCAGGTGATCTTTTTTCATCGCAAGGGTGTAGGCTGTACCCAAAATGGAACACTTTAATAAAAATGACACAGCAATTGTTATTTTGCAATCAAATATAATGGTATGTATTCTAAATCAAAATTAAATAGTTTTATGCATTTTGAACAAATAGCATCTGCCTACTTCTGAAACATGGCTCATAAACTCAATTGAAAGAATAAAAAAATGAAATAAAAAAAATCCAAGGAAACAGTACGATGCGAAAACATAGTTATATCATAGTTTACATCCGCCCCTCAGCAACTATGAGTTGCATTTTGGTTTCACAATGCTGATATGCAAGGACGCATCTGGTTGGTTGTCAAGTTTAACGCGTTAGCATTTAAACGCGTTAGCATTTAACGCGATAAAATAATTGTTGACGCAATAAACATGTATACAAGTGTATATATTAACGTGATAGCGTTTAACGCGTTATCACTATTTTTAACGCGTTAAATTGTTGTTTAACGCGTTAAATCCTTGTTTAACGCTTTAAATGATGTTTTAACGCGTTAAGCGCTAACGTGTTAGTTTATCTCGTTTTTGACGTGAACGGCCTTTCATAGTAATGATCCTGCGAGCTTTGTCAATGCTTCACCGTTGGTATATCATTGTCAGCAATACAGTTCATCACAACAACATTTTGTCACATTTTGCTGATCTTATGCATGATGTATTTGCTGAACTTGTTAAATTTTGTTTTTCTCTCATTACAATGGTTTAAATAGATTGTCCCTCGAGCCCCATAGCTGCACATGTACAGGCTAATTGAGAATAGTGATCGATTCCTTTTAATGTAATTCAAAATCAAACAAGTAATCATTGTAACACAATAAAAGCACAGGCAATGGCTGTGTTGGTATGCATTTTGTTTCTAGGTATTTAAATCGTGTAATGGGACAACCAATGAGTCCGGTGTTCGAAGCCGGAAAAGTATCAGGAAATTTCCAAGATATTGTTTTAAACCCTTATTTTGAAATTTCCATTGTTAAGCTAACCAGGGTTTTAAACAACTCATCCCTGATTATTAAATATGCCTCTGATTTAATTTTCAAATGTGACGTGCATGTAAACCCATCACGAGTCGTTGTGTTTCCTCTCTATACACACGTGATACGCCTACACGGGATATTAATATTTGGGTCGGATGTGTACATTTCCGTACCAGCAATACGTATTGAATAGATACAAATATACATAAACTATGAATAATACAGAGAGGATCTTAAGTGTGTGTGACACGAGCTTTCCGCGAGTTTAATAATTGTCAGATGTACATTATATAATGGGGTCGAAGTTCAGGTTCGTTTTGTAATACGATTAATATTTAATGTAAATTACACTTTTTATCAGAAATATAAAAAAGACAACATGTTGCCTTTCTCTGTGAATTGATGAACCCTTGGTACCAGTGACGTCACAAGAATTCTTATGATAAATGTCACATATCTAAATTGTGGTGACATTCTCACACACTGTAAAAATGGAAATTTTCGCAGTGTGGAAATATTCGCGTTTTTCGATACACAGACTATATCATTTTCAGAACTATAGCCAACATTAAAAATTCAACACCATAATCAGCTCAAAGGGTCTCGACGCGACATTTCCATACGCTAACAATTCCACCTTTACAGAATGATATTAGCCAGCTCGCATACTAACTGTTTAGTATTACTGACATAATTGGATTGTGTGATATTTTGCAAGATAATACAATGTAATGAATAGAATAAAAATGTATTTCTGAACTGTCAAAGAAGTTCTGGACCTTTTTGTAAATGCCACTAAAGTGAAATAGATTTTTTGATTTTTTAGAACGTAACACACACGTAGGTGATTCCACCTTAACAATGGTAATGTATACTAATCCAAAATTGAATGCAATGAACCAATTCCAGAATAGTTTACAAATCTCCATATACTTTTGCTTATCGTCGGAGGTATATATTTTCCCTAAAGCTAGCATTTTAGAGAAAGAAATTCCAAAATGTTCATGTTAGCGTAGGTATCGATTGTGCACGTTCAGAGACACCTTTCTATGTTGGAGATTGGTCTTCAGTCCACGTATTAAACCGCATGACGCTGGTACATCTTACAACCCATTGAGAATGGATTTTAAAGTTTATCAAAACAAAACGAGACTGCCTCCTGTTCCCGAACATTTGAGGTTAATATAATGGGGTGGCCAAACGGAAACGACGAAATCAGTCTACAGAAAGATGGACACATATTAGACATATAAACAATACAATAACCATAGTTTGAATTATATGTCTTTATTAAACTTTTATACATATACTGTGCAATGTCATCAGTGAAAAATAGAATACAGAATTTAGCAAGAAAAAGTAATACAAGCATGTTTCTTTAGGACATCAACAGAAGAAAACAAGTCGATTGATTCAACAGCATAAAAAATGCAATATCAGACAACATGTTTTAATGATTTGTGTAGATAACTCTTGTTTTGATGTCATAATGTTATTGATATAGCTAAAATACCCTTGTGTACTTATCGTCAGTAGAATACATAGAATACAGAAAAGGTCAGTTAGGAGTGGTGCTCATTTTCCCATTAACCTAAAGAAGTTCAAAACCAGAAAATCATAACTACAACGTATATCATTTAATCTTAATGAAAGTATAACTACGGTGGCTGAGTTGTGCCATTTCGGACGACAGTTAACAAACCTTCCGGGGGGAAAAGACGAAACTACGAGAATTAAGGCTTGTTAATTCTTGTCCTTTTGCACCTAAACGACAAAACAACGAGATTTGTATTGTTTTAAATCTCGCCTTTTCGATAATTTTAAGTCGCTAATTAGTGTGCTTTTCCCCGTCTTTTCGCCTGTGATTTCTCGTCTTTACGACGAACGAGATTTAGAAAAACTATTAGATGTCGCATTTCCGCCCCGAAAATACGACACAACGAGAATTAAGGTTTGTTAATTGTCGTCTTCACGGGTCAAAAAGACGAAACAACGAAATGGCACAAATCAGCCACCGTATATAACGCTCATGATAATGTCAGTCGCATATGTTGTTATCTTTCGAAAAAATTTGAATTTATTTTTATTTATCTACATATTGTAGTAACTTACAAAAGGGATAACATTTTTATATACTGCATATCATGTGACCACTAACTGATAAATTGTATATTTACATACGTATAGATGAAGGTATGGCTACATAGTCCACTTTTATTTTTCGGACACTTAGACTCCCTATGATGTAATACATTCAAAATACGTTTAGTTAGAAAACTGTATAAAACATTAAAAACGACCTCTACACATTTCATTCCTTTTAGCGTGTATCTTAATTTCACGATTTTGAGTTCGTCTATATCCTTACCAAGCACTAAGCCTCCCACAAAATTTCACAAGGACATATTTAATTGATAAGTTTTACTTCACTCAATAATTACTGTGTTCCATTGGAGCATAACACTCAACGGTTACATAAAGTAAATCAAAGAGTTTATATTTGAATAAAACAGAAAATGAAGTATCGTGGAATTATGTTAGGAGTAAGTTATGCTGGCGCAGTTCAAACCTATGAAGTAAACTGAGAGAATGACATAAATAGACAACAGTGTCGATATAAGGATTAATATGAGATACTATTTACCAACGTTAAGGTAATTTGCATGTGACAGAAATCACCGACGAAAGATTGTTTAAAGCTGATCATATGTAAAACAATTTAAATCACGTATATAACTGAAAGAAAATATTATCACCTAGTTACGGGAAATGAGTAATTAGACTGAAATATGTCTCTTTAGCGTTTTATATTTATAAATCATATTCTGCACAAAAATATTATACATTATAATACAACTTTTGTGACATGAAAACGACAAATAATTTGAGAAAATACAAAAATATATAAGCCTATTTTTTTTAAAATTATTTTTAATTAAGCAAATCACAAGAAAAATGAAGATTAACTCACAAAATACATATATCAGCAATATATCACTTTTATATCGAATCGTTTATTTTGACTTATCTTCCAAATGTGAAAATTGAAAAAAAAATACAATTGGGCGGAGTCAAACCAAAATACTATCAAAGTTGACTATAATGTGACTAATTATCCCACTAACAAAAGACATTAAAAAGAAGTCATCCAAACCATTTGCAGGACTTTCAAATCTCTCCTAAAATAAGGTATACTATCTGTGTTTTGGTAAGACAAGGAAAAATTAATAAAACGTCTATTTTTTTCTTGGACCGGATCTATATGTACATGTACAAGTGTATGTCACCTTTAAAATATTACGAAGGAATACAGATTATTCCGTTTGACATAAAGCGCACACTAAAACATCTACAATAGAAATGCAATCATATATCTATCTGTTCTTCGCATTGGTCGAACACTCAGTTCACATAGAAGCACTGATACACTCTTTATGAAAGGATTCGGTGATCATAGAATCGATTGTCATAGAAACGACTACTATTTACTTTTGTTCGCTGAACACCATTTTTTTGTCTTCTCAAAACAACATTCCCTCTGAATTGGCATGTGTCCGAGTGTTTCTTAGTATTGGATTGTCACATCTAAAAATATATTTCATAGTTTCCTTACATGAAAATGAAATCACAATCAGTCATTACCTATCACATATCAGTACCTATTCTTGCTAACAACGAAAGACAATGTTTAAGAGTAAATCTACTGTAAGAATCGAAACAATACGGTACTATCATATTAAGGACAGTTTTATAATATCTACTGGTATACTGCGACATGTGCTTGTTTCTAACCATGTATGGCACAAAAATCACCGAAAACTCTCGGTCTCAAAGACGAATGACAACGAGCAAGTCTTTATACCCTATTACCTTTACTGTCTTTACGGGGAGGAGGGTGGTCGTACGTATTGTCAGGATTAGTAATTGATAGCGACTTGGCAAATGAATCATAAAGATTGCTGAATTGCTTGTTATACAAAGAGCCGCCCTCAGTAGCCTGTGACTCTCCGCCAGATTTCTCTGTTGTATCATTGGCGACATTTTGAGTTGCTGACGTCACATTCTCACTAACAGCTGAACTTGTAGAATTCAGCTTTCCTCGTTTCATAGATTTTTTCTTTTTGTTGACCACCGCATACACAGCGTTTTGATGTTCATTTTCCGTTACATTATTTTCTGTTGATGATTTAGATTGTAAGTTTGAATCACTGTGTTTTACTTTCTTGCTGGAGGTGAACAGACTTTTCCGTATCCTATCTAGAACCGGGGAGGTTGGACCGTTATCATTGTCGTGTTCGTGAGGATTATACAACTCGTTATGTACTACTTTAGAAGTCCCAAGCAAAGACTTTCTGCGTTTCCATCGATTATATCCACGTTCTCGCCTGAAATTGCAACAAGAGACGCATATGTGAGAACTATCACATCACAAGCTTTGTTAGATTTGTACATCAAACAACATTGTAACCTCAAATTCCAAGGACGCGGTCTCGATACACATATTCTCTTTGTATACATGGAATAAGTCATAACAAAATCGGAGGTTGATTGGTTTTATGTATTAAATCTTGACCCGTCGGCAAGGTTGATATATTATAGAGGGTCTACACCAAACGGCAACGTCTGGTTATTTTACAGTTACGGTCCCGCGCCATGTCTTTGATCTTCATCAAATCAGCAGACTAGTCTTTTGTATCAAAGTGTCGCGTAAAAACCCTTTTACATACTAACATGACATATTTCAGGGATGCAGAACAGTTATGTTTATCCAGACCGGAACCCTTATATTTCGAGGATGGATATTGAAACAAATAGGTAAAAACATGAACAATATTAATTAATTAAAAGTTAAACTTCATGAACAATATATTTTACCTTTGGTATAGACATCCGGAAATAAAACGTATTTAAGGAAATAAAATAAACTTTCTTGTTTCCTTACTACCAAGGGAAATTTGTTTTGGTTCCCTTATTAATCTTTTTCCTGTTCTACGATTTGGGTTTAAGAGTTTTTGTATTCCGGGAAATTTAATTTTCTTTTTCCTTTTCCGCACTTTGTAAGGGGAGGGGTTCAATTTACCTCGTTGTTGAAAAATACAAATATGCAGCTGTTCGAAAATCGAACATTTGAAAATGAAAGAGGGTCGAAATCGTGACCTACCTTCACCTAGTACTACAATTTAATAATGCTGCCTTCTCAGAATTGTAGACGCAACTGTTTCAAAACTAGAAAATGTTTGTAAGACATGAATGCCCCCGTCACCTTGTGAAATTAGTTTCAGTGTTTGATGTTTGACGGGACGGGATGAGACGGGACGGACATGGGCAACAATATATGCCCCCCCCCCCTTTATGGCGGGGGGAGGGGGCATAGCATATCAAGTCACTCTTATCCATAACGAGTCCTTTGGATTACTCTATATTTTTCATACAAGGCTGAGTTTTCCGAAGGAAAAAATCTATGAATTGGAACTCCTTTTCCCGCGATATAACGTCTACAGTGGTACGTACTGGTTGCTTTGATAAAAAGGTAAAACTCGGTGACAAATAGCGTTTGAAGGACATACATTATATCACACTGAATTTGTATTTGATACCACAAAGATATAGTTCAATCTGTATTTATTAACAGCTACAGTTACAGACATCCTGTGATATAACTAGTTTCTCTAAATATCAGTACAGCAAGATTCTCCTCATAAATTACTATGTTATATCACTACATATTAAAGTAATGAGATGTCAACTTCATAAAATTTACCTTCGAAACACAATAGCCATACATACTACCCCAATGGCAATCAGGGATAGAGCTGCAGCAANATCAAGCATAGCATATCAAGTCACTCTTATCCATAACGAGTCCTTTGGATTACTCTACATTTTTCATACAAGGCAGAGTTCTCCGAAAGAAAAAAATCTATGAATTGGAACTCCTTTTCCCGCGATATAACGTCTACAGTGGTACGTACTGGTTGCTTTGATAAAACGGTAAAACTCGGTGACAGCTAGCGTTTGAAGGACATACATTATATCACACTGAATTTGTATTTGATACCACAAAGATATAGTTCAATCTGTATTTATTAACAGCTACAGTTACATACATCCTGTGATATAACTAGTTTCTCTAAATATCAGTACAGCAAGATTCTCCTCATAAATTACTATGTTATATCACTACATATTAAAGTAATGAGATGTCAACTTCATAAAATTTACCTTCGAAACACAATAGCCATACATACTACCCCAATGGCAATCAGGGATAGAGCTGCAGCAAGGACCCACCACAGCAGTCCTGAAAAAAGTAAGGAATTGATATTGCGGAATTTAAGGTATAGTAATCATTAAAATATCTTTTTTGCTTATTTCAATCATTATCAATGTAAAGTAATAGTAGATCTACATTCAAAAAGGTGAAAGAAAAAAAAATAAAGAAGGAAAACTTAATAAAACGTATATTTCCACCTATATCAGAACAATGGACCTTAAGGAACACTCTGTTGTTGCTCACAGTGATGAAATGAAGAATGTGTCACTGTGACCAGAGACATCATGGCTGGGTGCATCAAACAATTACTCGTCCGGAAACTTCGTTCCGTCTCCGGTTTTATGGGTAGTCTGATGTTTTCCTTTGCCCTCATGTTTCCTCTGTCCGTTTTATTGATATTGTCGGTATCGACATTTAAGTGCAGATTAATCCTTGTTGAATTGACAAGATTTGTTATTCTTTTGTAGTTTAGAAGAAAACCCCCAAAATATTAATGATATCAAATATAGTTAGTTTGTTTAATTTGAAGAACAAAGATTTCGCGGTTGTCCCGGTCAGAACTAGGTAGCGGGGATAAGATTTCGCGAAACATTGTCTGGTAAAAATATCGCCCTCACGAAGATACTTTTGTGTTTGGTTGATGTCAATTATTTTAGGTATTCTTAGTGTGAAAATAAAGTAAAATACATGTACGATATTGAAATGTTGTTATATTTTAATAATTAGGTAATAAACTTGATAACATATTTTTGTGTCTGTAAATATATATTCACGGAGATAATAATTCATGGTATTGATATTCGCTGGGGATTAAATATCGAGCTATCATTGGTGATCGCGAATAAAATGAAATTAAATCCCTCGGGAATATTACCAACTACCTGTATACAGTATTTAGTATTTGGTTTTTGAAATACAGTAAGGCAACATTTCCATTACAAACAGACAAATAAAATATAAATAGAATCTCACATGGGTGCGGTCAATGGATTGGGACATCTCAACCCTCAGGTAAATGTTTGGCAGTCCAGCACTAGGCTTTGGCCCGTGGACAGGGGAATCTAAACCCGAGGGTTGATATTTCCCTTCTACGGACCATACCCATGCTTGCTTCTTTTTCTTCAATATTCGAAATAAACATGCCAGTGTCAATACTCCTGTATATGCTTGTATTCCAGGACGCGCATGAATACAATTATGTTAATTCTATAGAGGGAGTCTGAGGTTTTCCTATGTTCTCATGTTTCCTCAGTCCCTATATTGATACAGGTTTATCTTTTTACGGGTAAGTTCCCATCTTTCACAGGCAAGTATGGGAGAAAAGTATGTTCCAATATGTTCATGCATGATTCATGTATTGCTTCGATTAATAAAATGTCCCGCAGTACCTACCAGAACTAGCCGCTGTGGCTTGCCGAGGTTGTACAATTACATTTGTTGTTGGTGTAACAGGTTGTATAGGAAAGTCTTTACATGTTTCCGAAACGTCGTTATCTATAACAAACAGACAAACTCTCACTCCTTAAGGATACATGCACAAGTTATTCTATTCGTGATATACATAATTCTTATTGTGTTACACTTTTATGTTCCTTTCAAAATAGCCATTTTAATTCCGTTTCCACATTACCAAAGTGTTAAATTTCCATATTTCTTAACAAGGACAAACTATGAAGGCAACGCATGTCATAGCAATGCTGTATGCACTCAGATACTACCCAAAAATATTTCAGCAAAATATGATATATATCATTTTGACTATAATACAGAATTAGATAAAATATACATAAACATTAGCAACCGATTGTAGCGAAATACTGTATAGCGGGATATATCTATAGGTTGCGCCATAATTGACCATACTTACATGCACACAACAGAGTAGGCGATTGAAAGTAAATTTGAGATGATCTACAATTTTGTATTTTTGTATGTCTCAGTGAGCACATGCTCACGGCAAATAGTATTTTGATGTGTTATTGCCAAATATGAACAAATGTTGTTACATTTTTTCAAAATTCTGCTATTGAAGATTATGTTTCTTTGAACTACTCATTGATGTATGACAAAAATCAACTTTTGATTGTTGTTTTATAAAAGTAAAATGATACCGTTCTGCTACACTCAATTAATGCAATGAGATAAATGTAGTAATACAAAAGTACACTTCAAATTTCAAACCTATATGAGAAAGTCATAGGTTACATTGTAATCAATATTACGGCGACATTTCTTTAATTACAAATAGTGTTATACTTACCAAGTATTACACAAACAAACGAGTGTGTCTGTGAGCAGTTTACACTCCTCACATCAACCCCTTGGTATACTAATAGACACATATCAGTGTGGAAATGTCCTTCTGAAACACCAAAGTATTATATAACATTTGTATGTACTAAATTGATAGGATTAAATATTGCCTATTACAAGAGTTATTTTGTGTTAATATCAACAACAACAAAAAGGAGCGCATTTGGAAACTGAGAGTGGTCAATATTTTGTACACTACTGACGTTTGTTTAGAATAAAGAAATAAAACATAAAAAGTGTGTTTCTCCTTCCAAAGGAAAACATACGAGGATTATGTTTTATACATTTACCTAAACAATTCCTGAATCTTTTTGCATAAATCGATAAAATGCAAATTCATGCAAACTGCACCCAATGTTTTTATATCTATACGACGAACATGCAAACATATCTTGGTTAAGTCTTCAATATTCAGCGTTTTTATCAATATATTTATTAACTGACTTGCTATAGATTTACAAAGATATCATCAATATAGTCTGTATTCCACAATCAAAAGACATGAGAATCGAATTCATTACAGAAACAATAACCTCCACATTCGAACGAGTACAATGAAATAAGAAATTAATGCATCTCACTGAAACGATGAACCGTTGAATGTACAACACTTTAAAAAATGGTTATTAGAAACATATAAAGCATACCTGAGGATGTATTAGGTACGAGCCAAAAGTCATCTGCAAAGTCAACGCAATCGACAAAAAGGTGTTTAAATTCATCTTCAGAAGCCAGTCTGCCTGAATATTCTTCGTCACAAAATTCAATAGCATCCATTATATTGAGCTTATCCGGGACGTATATGGAAAGCAGCGTCTCTTCTGCAGTGTTTAAACAGAATATCCATTGAAGTTCAGCGTCGAGATTTTAGTTTATAAGCCATTATTTCACCACCAGCGTAATTTTTGCGACTTTCACAATGAATTTTTTCAAAATTAAAGACGACAGTTAAAGTATTTCTCGTCAAGTAATATATCGGATAAAATATTTTGAATTCAACACAGCGTAAGTAAAAAAATAATATCACACAAATACAAAGTTGTAAACAGTATATATTCTGTTGTTGAATTTCTCTGACATGTTAAGTTAATCTTTACTTTGTAACAGTCAATGCATGATACTTACTTTGCAAACACCGTTGAGTAGTACTGTCCCAAACTTTGTTATCGTCATTGGGACAATCACACCTGTAGATGTCGTCTCTGTCCTTACTAGTACATATTAGTCCTTCGGTACACTCCGTCAGAGGCGGATTACACTGTTCGTTGTATGACAGTCCTAAATGTAACAGAAACACCATTAAGGTAGAAGTAGCGCTACTGTATCCTAGGTTACGACCCGTTAATGATGACGTTTTCAACACCAGTATTGTAAGAGTGGTAGATGCTGATGAACACAGGAATACATCCAAAACACAACGGTAGTGACCAATTAGTACAAACGGTTAACGATATTTTGAAAGTATAATCTTCCAACACAATTTAAAATACAATGTTTACATCTTGTAGCATATGCTTTGTGTGAAGTAATCATGAATTGGTGATGGCTGACAGATGTCACACCCAACTATATTACGACTGACAGGGATAACATTTAACAGCAAGAATTCCAGATAATTCGTAAGAATACCAGAGAAATAATATAAGTTTTTCTTGCTTCGTCGTAGAATATCGCATTTGTCACCACCCTTTGTTTACATTTAATAAAGTTTACGTAATTATTGTTATTGCATTTGACTACAAGTTCTGGATGCCCGATAAATATTCGGAAAACCTTACTTTCGCCCAGGCCTTGATTGAAGAAAATGATGTTATCTTAAATCAACATATATATCGGTACTTACTCATTGTACATGAACTGTTCATCTTATCCCAGAATTGATCGATATTTGGATCGCAAAGACATCGGCTGGATTCGTCAGTAGTCAGGCAAATCAGGTTACCGTGACATATATGGGGAACATCCAAAGTACACGTCTCGTTATAAAGAGATTCTGGAATGTATACGTTTTGAAAGATAATTGATAATGCTAAACTTTATTTTGATAAATCAATTTATTCCACGTATTACTTCTTCATTGCAAATAAACGCTGACACCAAACAAGGTTTTACCAATAAATACGGGATTTAATTTTAAATCAAAATGCATAATATGTTGAGCTGTACAAGAAAATTACGATAAGAAGTATGACTAGGAAAGTAGTTGGTATATTTGACCAATTGTTATGCAATGAAACAAAAATGTTAAATAGTTACCCTGCCTATTCAGTGCTGTTTGTAACATTAAATAGAAATGACTTTACAAGTACGTGCCACCATCTATAACACAAACTCTATAACAATGCCATGTAACGTCTGTTATTGTTATATGTTAACGTCATCATGTAAGGTTAGATAACATCGCAAACAAAAACAACACTAATTTTATCAGATTTGGGTCTTCCACACATTGTTGTTACCTACGTTTATAACACGCTTGCATCTTTACGTCCCAAAAGGAGCTGTTTTCTGCACACAGACATTTGGACATCAAATCCTCCTCCGGTCTTCTGCACACCAGGCCATTCATACAGGAATCAGGTATATCCGGATTACATGTAGCATTTTTGCCTAGTCCTGTGTATGAAAATGTTTTGTTTGTATAGTTATAATATAGACATAGAGTTATAATGTAATGAGCATGATAGATGGGTATTTGGAATGACAGTGGTGACATAATATTTTATATAGAAGCTTGGTCTGTGTAGTAGTCCCATAGCACCAACTTTTACTTAGAAACAAAATGTTAGCGAAAATGAATGAGATACACCAGGAAGTTTATAACAGAGAAGTAAGTGTTGATGAAGCAGCTGTTGATGGAAAGTTTCTAAATTTTCTAAACACACATGCTCTATCAGGAATTCAACAAAATTCAATGTCTAATACTTGGATATCAATCTGGATACAAATATTTGATATACGTACTGTCATTGCAGGAATTATTTTCTATATCCCAAAATGTGTTATTCTCACACAGACATCGGCTAGAATCGTTGGATTCTAGGCAAACCAAATTACTGGAGCACATAAGTATGACTTGGGATGAGCATGTTTCATTGTAAGACAGTCCTGAAACAGAATCGATGATCTTCAAATCGGTATTGCGACTTTGTTTTTCATTGTATAATGTTTCTTCAATATCAGTTACCTTTTACATAAAGCTTATTAGGTGAAGAATAAATAGTAACAAACTTCCATAATGGCATCTAATTATCACTAGTGTGGACATTTTGGATTCCAGAAATATAAACTGATACGTGACTAATTTTGCATTATGGCAATTCTGTTTTTTAAAGAAGCACCACTTCCGGAATTATTATCACTTGTACACCCCCACCCTCAGAAAATCAGTCGCTCTTAAACTCAAAAATATTATTACTTTGTGATTTTTTTTAAAACTTTATATAGGTTTTGTAGTAAATACAATAGTGAAAACAGTAAATTTGTATCTTAGATCGGGGTCGACGTCATTTCTTTATTACAAATCAGTTATAAATTTCCGATTTCTTTTCTAAACTTAGTTGTGAGACAAATATTAAGTATATCGCATCGATCAAAATTCACAACATAAGTACATGATCCTGTTATCATTTAAATAATGTCGTCGTGTAGACAAAACTCTGACTAACGTTTGACTCACATCGAATTTTTGTTTTCACAATGGATAACACACTAAGATATGGCAATCTTACTTCTACGGCACAAATCCATGTTGTCGTCCCAAAAAGAATCGTTCCCGGTACACAAACACGTGTACGACGCGTCTGCGTTTATTCTCTGACAATCAAGACCAATGATGCACTGGTCTGGTATAGCAGGGTCACAGACTGCATGCGCACCTAACTCTGCAAACGATATGACCAGGTCAAACAAGAATAAGACGAAAATCATTTTATATAAATCTTTCAATCAACACCCTAAATTCATTATCAAAATTGACTTGAAAATGATTAAAATTCTTTTATATCTATCAAAAGTACTATTTATAGAACTACATGTATTAACATTTATACTTGCTATAGCTGATCTGAATTAATAAATAGATAGTTAAAAGCCTGACACTTTAAAGGTTGGTGATAGTTGCAACATTTTCATTTAGCCACTGAACCATTTAATATCTCGGAACCATCATGATAGCATACTTATGTTGCAAGTATTGTTAGCTTCGTTCCAGAACTGTTCAGTATCTCCGTAACAGGCACATCGTGATGCATTCTCAAACTCCAGACACATAAGGTTACTTTTGCAACCTCTCGAAACGCAAGTCTCATTATAGCCCTTTTCTGTAAAAAGAAAAACACCACTTTCTAACAGGATTCGTATACTTCATTTGTTTGAAATGACCGATGATATGATAAATGATTGAAATTATATGCCATACTGTGCACCTCAATGAACTTTTTCTCTTGCTATTACATAAATATGCTATTACATAAATATGCTAAATGCCTTATCAAATACTTACTCGCTAAGCACGTTTCTAAGGAGTAACTCCAGAAGGTATCGTTTTCACAAGCACAGCGATTGATGTCTGTGGTTTCTTGGCATCTTAGATTGCTTTCACAACTAGACATTTTCATAGCGCATACCTGCCCGTATAAAGATTCTGAAACAGCGAACAGTATATATCCATTAACGACAACGAATAAATTAAGGGGAATAAAATGAAATATATACTAATATATAGTTATCTTTTTATAGACAACATAGTTTGTTTGAAATAAGGAATTTTCAAATGGACGAATGACCATATTGTGCATTATAAATCACTTTGATTAGCTTTATATGTAAATATTTAATGTTAACGTACCCTCACTTCCACTAAAATATCTCAGTTCATTTTGAATTAGTCATGCATGAATAATTATAACTATGTTATTAAACTTTTAAATTACAACTAACTATTTTATGTTTCATAGCGTCTCAATTGCGCTAATATAATAATGTGATTTATCTATTTTATAGAGGGAAATTCTCGAAATAACTTACTTTTAATACAGAATTGTAAGTTTTCGTCCCAGTATGTATTTTCCTCGTTCTCACAAACACATTTTTCAATTCCGTCAGATACCATGCAAATGGCATTTCCTGCACATTGTTGGTTAGTCTGACATACCAAACCATATGCCACTTTGAAATCGACATCGTATAAAAATAAAAATTATGACAATTATCTTAAAATAACAACAACCACATCAATAAACATGTATTTATAACTATTAATTTATCACGACCATTTGGCTCAGCATGCTTTACATGGCCTATTCGAGTATTTATTCAATTAATGTACTTATCCATCTTATTAAGTATATATATAACATCCTCCTTCATTACTTCATTACTCTGAATGATAATTAAATAGATATCGGGAATGACTACGAAAGCCTATAAGTGTCATTTTGAAAGGCGATTTTTTTTTCGTTATAACGCGTTAGTTATGTCGTTATAACACTGGGTTAAATGTTTTTGTCGTATACTCATCAGTTAGTAATTCGATATTCTTTTACAATACTCCTTTCATGCATAAAGATAACTATATCTCTCTCGTTATAATATTGTTAATTAGAAATGAAATTTAACTTTATTCCGCAGGGTGCATGGATTTTATTGCGAATGCAGGAACACATAAAAAAATATTGCCATCTACAAAACATTTGTGTTTTTGAAAGTCACGAGAGACTGCTATATCCTAGCAATGACTAAATGAGCGTGGATCAGATCAATTACAAACAAGTTTAAATATGTGTTTTTCTGCATTATGTTTGCAAGGATGTCTTGATACTTTTACCTGGTGCATAGCATAAAGCAAACGCCACTGTATTTGAACTGCAAGATGAAGTTATTGTAGGGCATGTTACAAGCTCTTTAGGATTTCTACGGCAGTACAAATCAACGTCCAAGATGTAATCCGTTGTATTTTTCTGCACGCTTGTAGCAATTCCACCACTTCAAAATTGAAATAATGTTCTACGTCATTTCGTTATTCAACAAATTTGATGTGATAAAGCGTTTTGTACCCGAACTCCACAAAGAAAGGAAAGAATTCACAAAAGTAATTCAAATAATTTAGTTGTTTTACTTATGTAAAATACTTATATAATAGCATTCAAATGTTGGCGTATTAAACAAGTTTAAAGAGTTTACCATAATGATAAATCGGCGCATTCAAACTACATAGAAAAGGCATGCAGTTTTAATAGCGTAGTAGTGCAATAAAGTTAGAGCGAAATTTTTCTGTAATTCTACTTGAAGAAAATTCCTTTCTTTCCAAACTTACTTGAGTCCGAGTTGCTGACAGGTGATTGCAGCATTAGTGTTATTCCAATTACCACCGCAAATAAAGTTCCATCGGCCATCAAGAAATATACTGACCCTTCCCTCATACTCATTCGCCCCTCCTAACAGCCTGATGTCACCTTCAAATATATACACGTACATGTATAGAACATCATAATTGCCACGTTGTATATTGACTGTGTATATGTATCCGAAACGAGATAATCCTGAAACCAGAATAGACAAGAACAGCAAGAAAATACCAACATAACCATAAAGCGAAGTTAAATCGATAAAACTAGGGCAAACTGTGAACAAAGGCAAAATGAGAACAAGGTTTTACTTGCAGAGACTTCAAAAAACTACAAGATGTAGGGGTAAATCTAGGTCAAAACCAATAAATGTCACGTCATCAGCCCGAGAGAGCTCGGGTAGAAACAACAAACCCTCAAAGCTCACTAATGAGCTAATTGAAACATATGACAAAATTCAACCATTTTGTTCCTATTTTCTACATATTCTTAACACAATTTATAAATATTCATAATCGTACGGTAAGCCTAAACATTTCATCAACACCATAAGGTCATCTTGAGACGAATTGTTATCTTATCACAACAATGTCATACAAATTCAAATGGTTATTTTGATGGTCTATGAACACAATAAGGTAATACAGACTTAAACGGACATTTTAGTCGTCAATCAACATAATAAGTCACCGTGACAGAAAAAATATAAGTCTTACAGATCTATCAACACCATAAAGCCAAACAGAGCACTACATCAATTAACACAATAAGGTCACTATGGCAGCTCAAAACAAAAGTATCACACAAAAGTCTTAATGACATTTAACAATAATAAGTTCACACATACCAAAACGGAAATTATAACAGCCTTTCTATACAATGAAGTCACACGAGAGCAAAGTATTCATTAACACAATACGGTAATCAATGACATAATAAAATTGTTAACATCCAACCAACTAAATAAAGTAATACAGTGCCAAACATATGTTTAAACGCCCTATCAAATGAATAGTAATACAGTGCCAAACATACGTCTAAATGCCTTATCAAATGAATAGTAATACAGTGTCAAACATACGTCTAAACGCCTTATTAAATGAATAGTAATTCAGTGCCAAACATACGTCTAAACGCCTTATCACATGAATAGTAATACAGTGCCAAACAAACGTCTAAATGCCCTATCAAATGAACAGTAATACAGTGCCAAACAAACGTCTAAATGCCCTATCAAATGAACAGTAATACAGTGCCAAACAAACGTCTAAACGTCTTATTAAATGAATAGTAATACAGTGCCAAACAAACGTCTAAATGCCCTATCAAATGAACAGTAATACAGTGCCAAACAAACGTCTAAACGTCTTATTAAATGAATAGTAATACAGTGCCAAAAATACGTCTAAACGCCTTATTAAATGAATAGTAATACAGTGCCAAAAATACGTCTAAACGCCTTATTAAATGATTGGTAATACAGTGCCAAACAAACGTCTAAACGTCTTATTAAATGAATAGTAATACAGTGCCAAACATTCGTCTTAACGGCTTATCAAATGAATAGTAATACAGTACCAAACATACGTCTAAACGCCTTATGAAATGAATAGTAATACAGTGCTAAACATACGTCTAAACGGCTTATCAGATGAATGGTAATACAGTGCCAAACATACGTCTTAACGGCTTATCAAATGAATAGTAATACAGTGCCAGACAAACGTCTAAACGCCCTATCAAATGAATAGTAATTCAGTTCCAAACATACGTCTAAACGCCTTATTAAATGAATAGTAATACAGTGCCAAAAATACGTCTAAACGCCTTATTAAATGATTGGTAATACAGTGCCAAACAAACGTCTAAATGCCCTATCAAATGAACAGTAATACAGTGCCAAACAAACGTCTAAACGTCTTATTAAATGAATAGTAATACAGTGCCAAACATACGTCTAAACGCCTTATCAAATGAATAGTAATACAGTGCCTAACATACGTCTAAACGTCTTATTAAATGAATAGTAATACAGTGCCAAACGAAAGTATACATGGACCATCAAATTGTAATGCAGTGCGCAATGGTAGTCTCAAAGGTCTATAAGCCTGTTAAGGGTTACGCGGTATTTTTAAGGGCACACAGCCACAATTAAGTCACACAAAGCCAAAACGCTAGAGTAAGAGCAGAAACAGAATATGAGATTAATAAAAATATCCCAGACAAGTCAATGGATCTATCTAGTCAGGTTGTCCTGTCGCACATGTGCTTTTTACATAGTATTGCAGAGGGCGAGAAAAATTAGATGTCTGGTTTGCAAGATAACCGAGTAAACAGGTTTAAGTTTGAAACATCAAAAACACGTACATTTGGAACTACATCACATTACCTTTATTTGGATTGCAGGTAAGAAACACGCCATTTGAAGAGTGAGCGCAATTGTGTACGCCCCATCCATTGAAAAAACACTCTCCGAGGTTAACCTCATCGCCTCTGCATTCGATATTGTCCATCCAAAATGTCTCCATCCCTCTCTCGGAAATATTTAAATGTCTAAATGTACCTCCGCTGAACAATAAACCATTATCAATGGCATATAATAGTAAAATGTAATTAGTATATTGATATAATAATTCAACGAAATCTTTGACAAGTGTCAACCCTATTCTCTTGAAAATAAACGTAGTTGATCTTATATCCCAAACACATTGCACTATATTTATAAATAATTTGATTTAAATAAAATGATTTGTGTGGAAAATAATATAACTTTCATTGCACTTACGTGAAGCTCAGTTGCCTACAAGCGACATGTGCATTTAATACGTTTCCGTCCCATTTGTTGATACAGATTCCTCCCCACTCTCCAGATACGTAAACCTCTAATCTGCCTTCATACTTGTTTGATCCGCCGATCATCCGAATTGATCCATCTTTTAAAGGCAAATAAACTGCTTTTAAATATTTCAAGACGCATACAACCTATTATTAGCAAAAAATCATAAATGTAGTTTGCAATTATCTCAACGACCTGAGAGAATAACAAATACTCGTCATTATATGTGTACTTGACGATGCCATACTATAAACTAAGCAATGAGAAATGGCATTCATAGTGGTGTAAACTCAATTACTCTAAGATGACAACATTTGTCCAAAGCCGGAATGATTTCCATTTGGAGGAGGCCGACCAGTGCTCAAAATGACGTTCTTTATATGTACAATTCAGTAGGGGTCAGCTGTTTAACAGGTCAAGGACTTCTCCGTTTTATTGAAAATGGTCATAATACATATTTTGTAAATTTAACTATCTGGTATGCTATTCTTAACATAACATATCCTAGCAGTCAACTGGTTTCATTAGAACACAACTTGCAGTGTGCTGCATGAAATATAACTTTTCCAGTTGGAACTAATAGTGATTATCAATGCATGATGAAGCTGTAGAGAATTAAATGGTGTTTGAAAGGTTCTGTACCAAATTCGAGATTTTATAAACATGATATTACAATTTTATCTCATTCTCAACATCGGCTACTTTCGTCTATTATAAACTATTCTGTATGTTCGCTGAAAACCAGTTACTGCCATGGTGTTGACACTACGCATTCTGTTTCGTAAGTTTATACACAACTTACCTCTGTACGGTTTACAAGTAAGAAATACATCGTCAAACAATGCATGGAAACAGTTCTCGTTCCCCCATCCTTTAAACATACAGTCGGATAGTCGACGTTCGTTGTTTTGACATTGCAGGTCATCTATCCAGAATTTGACGGCTAGGTTGACCATCTTGTTAACACGCCTATGATCCCCTCCACTGTGTTGAAGCAACAGAAATGAATGATTAGAAAATAGATACCAACTGCTCACTACATGAAACTTAGATAAGTTGTTGTTAGGTTGAATTCTCCTCAATAGTTTTGACACTAATTAGCTACCCTATGTGAGACAGGATTGAAGATAGAAGATATAATGTAGACAACGTGTATGCCATGGTATGTTTGACCCCTTTTACTTCAAATACTCTCTTCTATATCATATACACCTACATAATGGGTTAAATATTCTATCACATCTTCGAAAATAACGGATGAACTTTACTCCATTGCGCACTCATATCGGGCTAGTACTGACTACAGGGAAATTTTCGCCTAGTCAAATTTTCGCCCTTCGACAGTTTTCGCCCGATTTTAAAAACGCACATCACATTTACTTACTATAGATATTATGTTGTTTACACAATATGTTTTTCAACAAAGAACTACTAATAGTTAATACTCATGACTTAATGTCTGTAAGAAGAACACCAAATCCACGGAATCTACATTTCGCATGAAGTCCCGTTGCGAATACAAAACATAACGATCGCAAAGCATGTGGTTATAGAGTATATAGTTATGTACCTATAGCCGAGTTGTCTGCATGCAACTTGGGCGTTTTGTGGGAAATTCCTCCACTCGTCCTCACAAACGGTTCCCCATTCTCCATCGTACCAAACCTCGAGTCTCCCAACAAATTGACTGTTGCCTCTTTCCAGTCTGAGAACGCCATCTGCCGAAATTAACGTATTATCATTGGTAAATTATAAACAGATTATTTATTCTTTGTAATAAAGATTGTTGCTAACCTATTTGCATATGTACAGTTCCAGTCGTCTATGATAAAGGTACATTTTCCCTTTCGCTGCATTTCTAGGTATGTTTCGGAACACTTTAAACATGAACTGTCAGTCTTTTGATATTAGTTCCCGGGATAAGTTCTAAAAAGACTTCACTAGTGAGTCTTTATTGGACTAAATGATGATATAGTTCAGTAAAACAAATCTTTGTTTGGCTATGTGCATCAACGTACTTAAATTATAAACAGATATTTTCTCACTTCGATCATTATTATACCAAGGGCTACATGTATGTTAATAATGCTTCCATCATTCTTACAAGCGATTTGCTTGATAACTGGCAAAAAAACCTGCCATAATACCGTTAATGTTCATCTATGTTCTATACTTGTCATTTCTGCTGTTTCAACAAGATAGTAAATTCCTCAGGGGTCGAACATGTTTAAAATGCTTCAGATACATACAGTAAGTAAAAACGTCCATCAGGAAGGCGATCACCAAAATTGTTGTACAAACTCAGTACTTGCCTTCCAAAAGCTACACATAGATGTGATTCCTTGTATGAATACCTGTAACTGGTTCACATGTAAGGTAAATGTCTTCAACTGGCGACATATGGGAACAAGTGAGATTGCTGGAACGATCGAGCACACAATCATCAATCCTTTTCTCATTCCCAAAACATTCCACACGAATGTCCCAGAAAGCACCGATTCCACTTTGTGTTTCTGTTGCCATCTTAGCCGATCCTTCACTGTCGGGAATATACAAACGAAGTAAGACTAAATTAATGTATTTTATGTATATATCAGCGTTCATTTAATACTAAAGTTCTACGGTTTTCCATACTACATTTAATTAAACAACCTTTCAAGCCAATTATTAAATAAAAATAAGCATATTTAAAAATGAAAACGCTTCCAAACTTTTCTGTTAAAACGTATTGCTCATGGTCAGTGTGTGAGTGTTTAATACCGGAACGAAACCGGGAGAACATTTGTACATTTATGACAATAATTAAACTATACAATCTGGTCATTTATCCAAATGGTGCTGTTACAAACCTGAGACCTAGCTGTCTGCATGCAACATTTGAGTTAGTTTGTGTCCAGCCTTCCATACACACAGATACCCAGCCATAGTCATTGGTTAAAATCTCCAGACGCCCTTCGTACGGGTTGTCTCCGCCGATCAGTCTCAGAACCAATTCTATTAAAAACGACGAGTGTAGATAGGAATATGCAACATTCAGATTGATTTTTTTTTTTTTTAAAGAGGACAAAAGTGGTTAACCTCTTACATTTAAAAGCAAAAGGTCTTCTACTTAATTAGTACTAGTGAACTGTGTTTGACCCTTTAATGCAATGCATGTGTCAAAAACTTTCAAACTTGATCATCTGCGAGTATTACATCAATAGGTTCATAAGAAATGTAATCCTGGTAATTTGTTACGCTTTTTATATATGCAATTGTGATGCTTAACCACTTCAAATAATACAAAAAAAATGTACCAATCGCGATACTGTTCCGTCAATATCCTTTCACACATAATAGTAATTATCAGATTGTATTAAATTAGATGACTCACGTTGGCATTTCATACCGACATAATTATTAAACATACCGTTCAATTACTATGCAATAAACTAGGATACATTGTGTTCGAAATTCGCGGTTTGGTTTGTCAAAATGCGGAAATAAGACATTAAAAGCAATGATATTATAACGTAAAAATGGGAAAAGGCTATCACAAGTTGCAATAAGTTAATGCCTAATCACTTGTTCAAATTATTGTATCAATAAAATTCAATTATACTCTAAACTTACAAAATTATATGTACATATGTTAATAGGTTTATATATGTAACTTACGTGGCTCACATATTAGATAAATTTCCTGATACAGATAGTGAGCGCAGTCATGTATGTCCCACCCATTAAATTTACAATTGGAGAGTTGGTCCTCATATCCCCGACAAATGACGTCATCCATCCAGAACTTCCCTGGGCCCACTTCACCATCTGTCACTGATCGGAAAGATCCCTCTCTAGGTAAAAATACTTTTCCGTTTATACAAATATTCAACAGCATAGATTTTCCATTTTTAACTTAGCATACTTAACAAGGGCATTTTGACAACAATCAGTACAATCATTAATATCAGAAATATTCAACTGCAATAAAGGTGAATGCATCGAGCCGAAACTAATAATGACAATTACCTACATCGCCAATAACACAATAAAAATACATTCAACATACAATTTTATCTCGCAACAAAAGATGTTAAAAATTTGGCCATTTATCTCTTTGAGATTCTAATGGCATACTTTGGACAATGAAATATATTTGTCATTCTATTCTCGTCACAGTATTGGGGTAAATTTCGATCAGTCTTTGTTATGTAACACTGGTTTTAAAACAAAATAAAAGGATCAAATATTAAAATGAAGTATATTTGATATTCAACTGAAATTTATCTTATTTGAATCACAGGAAATCATATCAATATATCATAATATATAATATTTCATTGTATTGGAAATGTAAAAAATATGTTTTCTTTGATGTAATATTTATAATAAATAACACGAAATAATTACGAGAAGCCAAGTTGTCTGCAAGCGACAACCGCGTTCTGATCATAACGGTTCCAGTTGTCAGTACAAATCGATCCCCATTCGCCATCATGGTAAACCTCTAGTCGGCCCTCATACGGCTCCAAGGTACCCACCAGTCGTAGGTCCTCTCCTACAAATAAAACAAACAGTGGAATATATCATCTTATGGAAAAGAAAGATAAAGATTCTTTACTTCACTAATCAATGCAAAAAATATACAATATCATCAGCACGTCAAAACAAAAACTAACATAACGTTAACACACATGGACAACTTAACTGTGTTTAACCGCATCATATGAGGACAAAACATGTCATAACAGTTAACATGCACATATAGGTTCGTAGATATGAAAAGACGACCAGACACTTGGGCGCCAAGGTGAACTAATACAATTGAACGCGAAATGAATGTGAACGGGAAAGGTATTGACAATAGGAAGAATGACCACAAGTGAACATTAACCTCCAATTAACTCCGTGAATGATTAAATCCTAAACATTACGTCCTCAGTGGCAGCTTTTGCATATAGATACGATTTGATCGACTAACTTGATCTGTCATACCGGTTAATACACTGTATTCTGACCGTTCACCTGTTGCCTTGGGTAAGCTACACAATCAGCGCCGTACACACTGTACTAACCAATATAAACCTCACTGATAAAGCATTTACACTTCATACTGTTATTGTTAACAGATAATGTAGCAAACAAATTTAATCTAAACACGTCTTTGAAGACAATTATGTAAAATGTACTTTTCCTTCTTATGACTTTCCTTTTAGTTTTCTCGACATGTGTATGTCGTTCATTGATAAACACAGCATCTACAGGAAGCGTTCCCTACGCCAGACTGTCTGAGCAAGCAATGTAGGAGTTAATCGGAAGTGATAAATATGGAAATGCATTATTTATCCTGTCGTGGGTTTTGGATATGTCACACACAGCTGAGAAATATGACACATATTTTTTGGTTAATCATATATATAACATCGCAATTTTAATCGTGTTCATTGATACTGATACGTATAACATTTGTTATAGGGAAAATATAGATCATATTAGAAATATGTTTAATACAAAATGTGTCAAAATCGTACATCGTACGTAGTTTCTAAAATAAAAATTTAAATTTGAATGTATTCACTGTATGACGTATTTTGATTTGCAAACACCAGATTTCAAAATTGACGATGATCATGTTTGTACTTTTGAGTCCCGTTGTGCAAATATTCACCATTTCGTTTTCAAATATAAAACATGATCTATTTGAGGGGCTTCTGATGCTTCAAATGTTCAATAGCTTCAACTAGTCACTATTGGGTTATTGATATTTTGTTGTGCCTCAGATCTCGGTATGAGGATGTTACATCACTTGGACTTAACCATGATTTACATGGCGGCTGTCATCGCCGCAGCAAGGAAGACGCTTATCCTTCCGGAAACCCTGGTCGTATTATCCTGGTTCTTTTTCAGTGCTCACCTTATAACTATTTCCTTTGCTCAGAGTTTGGTCCAGTTTCATTAATTCACTGGTTGATTTGTCTGGTAGCTAATATCCTTCCATAGAAAATAATAAACTAGGGTGTGATTTACAAGAATTTATCTACGCCAGCGGTATTTTAAGTACCTAATCGTACACAGGTTCCTTTTAAGATAATCTGTTTTGGATCTTGATTTCATTTACTATTTTTATTGTGAAATGAAACTATTCCATCTTCAGATCTACCCGGGTATGTTTGTAAATTTGATCTGTTCATTAGAGGTGAGAACGTATATACGGATTGAATACTTTTTGCCCAATTCTCCTGTGTAGGCAAACATATATGTTAAGGTTAAACTAATGTCATAAATCAGGAGCTGCTTGATATCCATGACAAATCTCATTGAATTTCTACTTAGTATAAAGAAGTGTGAAACTGATTTAGAAATGTTTGTTTTTGCAAACTTTTGAAAGCTAAACATGGAATGTCGTCATTTCGCTTGAAAAACAACAGAATTCAGTCCAAGTCTACCTGATAACGAATTGATCCAAATATATTGCACAAATTAAACTCTTTCCATGGTTCAACTTATATGTGACGTAATCATATGAAAAACAGAAAAGCTATTGCCTATTATGAGGATGTTGCTATTGATTCCCCACCCAATGACAATCGCACGATGTTTTAGTATTATATTAGTGTAAAATCACCCATTTCATATTACAATATATTAAATTTACACGATGTCTTTATCATATCGGTATAATACTGTATAATAAATCGGCAGTTTTATATAAACAATACTCAAATGAGCTTGACAACTGTCTAAAGCTATCTTGATATATGTTCTGGTGGAAGCAGGACGTCAAAATTACATCTTCTCACATCTGTTTATGCCAAAAAATTGATTTCGTTGAACTACTATTGATAACGACACCAGGAAGTGCAAGGCTTGGAATAGAAGTCACAGATCGTCATAGACACATATTATAACATGTACTACATAACCTACTTGGTCAACAAAAAGATCAATAAAATCACAACACATAATATATTAGCACTACGTTGTACTCGTCTGAAAGACACACAACATTAACAGGAAAACCATAATATCAATATATAAACAATTTAATGTTGTTATTCAAATGAATTACTATATGATTACAGGAAACAATAATGCATGAAAGATTGAAAACTTCATAGCATAAATGCACAAGTTTATTAGATGTGAACCTAAAATTTCAACTATGATTGCAAAATCAATGAAATGGTTGAAGACATTCAGTCACGAGAGTTCCAACTCTAAAACAAAGTGTTTCGGGATATACAAATTCCATTTCCTAAAACCACTACAACTGGTAAATCTTCTACAACTTCTGTCTATGAAATTTCTATCAACTTCTTGAAACTCAATATTTTTATTCGAACGAATAGGAAGCTTAAGAAGCCAAAAGGACACTTTCACATTAACACAGTATTATATAATAGGAAATGTGATTCAAGTTATATGGAAAGTAAGCTTACCGACTGCGTCGTTTACATATCCGAGAATCACAGTAATCACAAGTAGTTTGGGTAGATCCATCACTCTCCTGTAGGTGTATTCCAACATATACTCAGGTACACATAGTGTGGCTTTATGTAGCACGGTAACCACATTCCTTTCAAATGTCTACATCAGAACACATTTCAATATATCAAACAATTCCTTTATGAATCCGGATACATATATCTGATCAGTACATATATGTAACGGGTATAGATACATCCATACATTAACTCAATACACATTTGTATTTCAGGAAGAACGGCATCCTGTTTATACGCAGAATATCAAAGCTGTGTAAGAGAGCTTGAAAATGTACATTAACAATATTGTTAAATGATTTCGACACGTGAAAGTAAAATTGTATCCCTAATTTGAATATTTTTATAATGTTTGGGTGTTAACTGTTAATTTTGATTCGTTGCATGCATTAAATCACAGAGCTCTATCAAGTGTTAAAGGCGTCATTGGATTACACAAAAAGCTCAAAATGTTGGTTTTGTGTGGGTCTTTTTAATCACTGCCATCGGTTTTATTGACTTTATGGCAAATACTGTAATGGATGTTAGACTTATGTAGCCTGTAAATTACTTAGCCATTTGTGATGAAAGTTAGGAGAGATTGTGATCGTAATTTGTTCAGACCTTATAGACTTCATTAGAGATTGTATATGGGAATAATTAGGGGCTTTTACAGTATTGTGCAAATGTTACGGAACTGGACTGGGTTGATCGTCGGCGACCCGGTAGTTCAATTGGTCCGCCTAGAGTTCGGAGGGACCCGGGTTCGAATCCCGGTCAGGCTGTTGCATTTCTCTTTTTTCCTGTTACAAAATTGGTGGGTTTGCCAACCCTTGTGTCAAGCACTGGGTGAATGCTTGGCAGTGGGATATCATAATCAGAGTTGTATGGCGAAGACTGAGAACAGGAGGGAGTATGTAGCGGAATTAGAAAGGGGCGAGTGCCTGCGACCAGGTAGCTCAACTTGTACAGCGTCCGCCTAGAGTTCGGGGGGTCCCGGTCTGGCCGTTGCATTTCTGTTACACGATGTGAACCATTTTGGAGATCGAACTAAATAAATAGATGCATTGTCTTAAATTAAGTCAACTTGCCATGTATGTACAGAAGTATACAACTGCTGGAGTGCATTACTACTGCAGTAACCTAAATTACTTAAATTATGAGAACTTCACCATCGGACCACGCCAGAAGAGCGGAAGAGCTATTATCGGCATGGTAATATTGGTTGGTGTATGTCGTTTTCTTCGCAGGCGCCATTTTTTTTTTTATTAAGGACATTACGTATCGATCGGACTATCTAAAATAAGAAAATGATACAGTGTACAAATATTGGTAGGATCATTCTTGTATTGGAAGTTAGATGTGCGGACTATATTCTGTGTGAAGGAGCTGAAGAGTCCTCCAGTTACTACGTATATTACTCCCTTAACTAAAAATGCCGTAAAAGTGAATCTTTGATAGTGTGCATTTTCTGACGGACAAGTATTGTCCGGCAGCGAGGTTATTGTCCGGTGCCGGACACATATGCTAATTGGTAAGATAAAGTCACGCGACACCTAAAAAAGTTTATAAAACCGCGAAAATTCTACCTTTTTATCAGACTAGCTTGTCAAGCGAAATCATTCTAAATATTGCAAGGTACGTAACTCCTACAGGATGGCTTTGACAAATTCTTATGTATCTGTTCATCTGTATAAACAGCACTGAAGTGATTAAAACTGAAGTGATTAAACCTGATACAGTGGTAACCTTCACCTCAACACTATAAGAAGACATAAAAGTTAATTAGATACTTTAAACGATTACATACTACACATAGTGTGCAGTTAAGTGATACTAATGCCATACAAATGCCATCCCCCCCCCCCCCCCCCCCCCCCCCCACC